ATCATGAGGTGTTGAAGGAATCAGTTATCAGACATCAAAGAACAAAAAATCATCATTGTGTGCTCACCTTCCCCATACGGACGCTGAAGACAAATGTGTGCATAAGCAAGTGTGGTGAAAAAAGCTGATGGAGCCTGGCTATCAAGAGATAATAGCATTCGAGGTCTTAAAGGCTTGAAGGTAAACAAGTGGCCATCTAGCCCAGAAGCAACAAAGCCCACATGGAAGAAGCACACCTGCCTGTGTGATCACGAGGTGTTGAAGGGATCAGGTATCAAGCACCAAAGAACAAAAAATCATATCATTGTGAATGAGAGGGAGTGCTGGCGGGGACCCAAGGCAACTGGACATCCCTTTGCGGAGGGGTCTCGGGGAAGAAACAAGCCAGTCAGGTTGTAGTGTAGCATCGATGAAACACACAACTTTCCTCTAGTTCTTAAATGCTTCCTTCCCACCCACCCCCACTATCACGATCCAAATTCTACCTTACAAATCCGGCTAGCCCAGAAGATGTACACTGGTGCAGATAGGAACTAAAAACACCGGGAATCCAGGACAGATGAACCCCTCAGGACCAGTGGTGAGAGTGGCGATACTGGGAGGGTGGGGCAGAAAGGAGGAACCAGTTACAAGGATCTACATGTAACCTCCTCCTTGGGGGACGGACAACCAAAAAGTGGGAAGGGAGACATCGTGCATTATTTATATGATAAAATAATAATAATTTATAAATTATCAAGGGTTCATGAGGGACGGGGAACAGGGAGGGAGGGAAAAATGAGGAGCTAAAAAAAAAATGAGCTGATACCAAGGGCTGCAGTGGAAAGCAGATGTATTGAGAATGATGAGGGCAGCAAATATACAAATGTGCTTCACCCAATGGATGGATGTGTGGATTATGTTAAGAGTTGTATGAGCCCCCAATAAAATTATTTAAAAAGAAAGAAAAGCACCCATGTTACTGAGAAAGAGAACCTCATCTCCAGGCCCAAGCATGGGGAACTGAGCAGCCCTCGCCGGGTCAAGGAGAAGGATGACCATCAGTGCTGCCGTTTCTGAAGACTCCTGAACTTGTCTAGTCCTCTCGTGATCTCGGGAGCGGCCAGGACGGTGTTAAAATGCTGGTTCCCGTTCACATCACATTCCGTATGTGAGTGTTTAAAGTTCTAAGAGAAGCCAGGCATGGCAATTGTTTTCCTAATCCGATAAGGAGTCATGGTTTGGGAAGGTTAAGTAAGGCTGTTCACACCCACGACGTCAGGAAGCTGGGCTTTCAGCCCAGTCGCTCTGATTCTGAGCATGGACTCTTGGGGCCCCAGGGTCATAGCTACTTTGTTCTGCCAGGCGACGGCTCCAACCATCTTGGCCCAGACTCCTTGACCAGCCAGAAGGCTCCATTGTGCTTGTCAAGGTTGATTTGCTAATGGCTGATGAGACTGACATTGCCTCACCTCCCCGGGGGACAGGTGGTCTCACAGAGGCTTTGAAAGGCAGTTGTTCGGGAGCTGGTGCCTCAGGACTGCTGGGGCAACTGGACCCCGTGGAAGTACCTGGGCCTCCTGTCATTTTGGGAAGTCACGTTCTTTATATGTTAGCACTATGTTTGTCTCTGTGACTTGACAACGGTTCTGTACGAGCTGAAGAAATGGTATGCAAATACACATTTAAAAATAGATTCTTTTTCTTCTTCCCCCCAAACAGTTTCATTTAGGATACCATACTGTTCCATAGTTCTTATCAAGCAGTGTTGCACCATTGCTGCCAGAATCACTGTCAAAACATTGTCTTCCTTCTTGAACTCCTTGATATCAACTCTCCTTAGCCCCTGGCCCCACCCTGCACCTCCACCACTGTAACCACCCCCCACCCCCTAGGAACCCTTATTCTAGTTGATCTCTCTCTGGATTCACCTCTCCTTGGTTTCATCTACTGAAAAAACATAGAAAAACACACAGCAAAGAGTCAAGAGGGCTACAAACGATGACAAAATGCAACACAGCAAACCCAATATGAGGGGCAAAAAATAAAACCAACTCACCAAAACTATTAAAAACCAGACAAGCCCAAAATGGATCAGAGGGGAGATCACATGATGAGGCTTTAAATCGAGTCAGGGTTAGCATTTTCATCTGCTGTAGTCATCTCTCCAATACTGTCTGATAACCAGGTTATCCCCGTCCCTCAAGTATGATTTCCCTCAAGTAGCGGGAAATCACCAAAGACTTATTCCCTGTGTAGATCCTGCCAAATATATTTTAGGCCCTCATGGTCTTTCATAGCATTCTATTCTTTCTACTGCATGCCTTGAAAGCCTGGTACCAATTGAAAATGAAACTGAAAAAGAATGGATGCATGAATTATAAAATATATTGCCATTTCCCTGTCTTATAAATGGCCGAAGAAAAATAACAGATGCTAAAATAAAAAAGAAAATTTCAAATTATTTACATTCAGTAAACACAGAGGATCTGTTAACTTAAAATAAAGGTATTCTAGATGTGAAAATATTTAATTTATCAAGGGATCATAAGGGCTGGGGGGTGTGGGGAGAGGAGCTGATACCAAGGGCTCAAATAGAAAGTAAATGTTTAGAAAAATGATGGTAACCTATGTACAAAAATGCTTGATACAGTTGATGTGTGGAATGTTATAAGAGCTGTTTAAGAGCCCCCAGTAAAATGATATAAAATAATAATAATTATAATTTTAAAAAGCAAGCCAGGTACCAACAGAGCGAGGCTGTGGCACTGTGGATGTGTGGACACTAGGGGGCCCCAGCGAGCACAGTGCGGAACCAGCAGGCCCAGTTTCTCATCTTAACCCTTAATACCCTTCTGTTTTAGCCTTGAGCAACCTGCTGAACTACAGCAGAAAACCAGCCGTTGAATAAGACCACACCATCACACACATCGAGACCTGTTTCCTGGACTCTAAAATAAGAGGAAACTTTCCGGTTGACCGTTGATCCTGTGTGTGATATTGCTGACAGGCCTTTTGTGCATTTGAGTCTTTGTTAATGATGTCAAACACCCACCAGGTCCTCAAATCCCTCCTCGCCTGACTAACAGGTTGGAGTGTGGGGATGCCTTCGAGGGACGAGCGAGCACTCTAATTCGGAAGCATCACAGATTGTAGAGAGACAGTTGGACTTTTCGGTCCTCTTTGGCTACTGCCACCCCCTCCTCGTTTTCGTGGTAAAATAAATGAGGGCAAATAAACTCAGGACAAGAGCCCAGCTTCCGTCCCTGCTAACGAGCTCTCCCTTGCTCCTTCTTTGCAGTATGTCTCTCTTGAGTCAGCAGCCTTTCCTCTCACTGGTACTCACCTGCCTGAAGGGACAAGACGAACAGAGGGAAGGCCTCCTGACGTCCCTCCAGAATCAAGTTAATCAGGTAAGGGAGAGCATTCTGGGAACATGTCTTCCTAATGGCGCTAATGTGTTTTCCTCTCCAGTTCTGAGAGTAACCTAACAAGGGCTGGAGGCCAGAGACACAGCCCGTGCCCCGGTCTCCCTTCCAGCGGCCAAGGCACCGTTTTCATCCTGTTAGTTAGACACATCATCGCTAGAGACAGGAAAGGTAACCTTTGACACACTCGCCTGTGCCAGCTTTTGAGTAACGGCTTCTCTCCACGCCTTGCCGGGTTGGGCCACGGCCTGGAAAGAGCTGCGTGGGCGTGTGGAGGACTAGAAGGAAGGCTCCTAGCATCCAGAACGGTCTGACTGGGGCTCTTTCGGCTCAGAAACTCAGTGCCGTGTCCCTGTCAGAACCAAACCGCGGCCGGGCGCACACAGACCGACGGCCATGACCTCATTTCTGACTCACGGTGATCAGCTAATGCCTGCGGGTTAGAGCCGCCCCCATCGCGATTCCAGTGGCTGTGATCTTCCGGAAGCAGACACCGAGGGCCTTTCTTCCAGGTCACCTGTGGGTGGCTTTCAGCCATCGGTCTTGCTGGTATCAGTGGGGGCTCCTGTCTGCTTGTACTACCCCGGGGACTCCTTCATGCCCTCGTGTATCCAATCCAAATGCATGTGGGTTCAATTTCCAAGAATTTTGGAGTTGGCCCTTTCACCCGTCAGATTTCTCCCGGTCACTGGGACATGCGCATTCTGTGTATCCCAAGGGAACCGAGTGGCCAAACCGGGAATTACAGCCCATGGCATCTGAGCCGAGTGGGTGCAGGGACATATGGGGTGTTTGCATTGCAAGGCAGCAGAGCCCGGTGGACCCCTGTTAGGGGCGCTCTCCTGAAGGACCCTAGATGGACTTAGATGCAGAGCCTCCGTCTTTCCAAGTGGCACCATCATCTCCCACTTGTGGGTCAGGAGGGAGGTAGTCCTCAGAGAGCAGCCGCATGATCCTTCTAACATGCAAGGCACATTATGCCCAGGCAGAAAATACCCGTACGAGACCGAGGCTAAAAATCTGCACCTGGGATTTCTCAACCTGTGGGTCACAATCTCTTTGGGGTCGAACAACCCCCTTTCACAGGGGTCACCTAATACTTCCTGCATGTCAGCTATTTCACCTGACGATTCATAACAGTAGCAAAATGACAGTGATGCAGTAGCAACGAAAAGAATTTTATGGTGGGGGGGGGGTCACCCCAACATGAAGACCTGTGTGAACGGGTCGTGGCATGAGGAAGGTTGAGAACCACTGGTTTAGGTGATCGGGCTCTCCCTCTCCCTTCTACCTCATTCCCCACCAGTTTTCGCCTTGCTCTACGTCTTTCACGCTGCATCAGCCATGCCGCCATCCCTTGAATTTCCCAAACAGGCCCCCATTTCAGCACCTTGGGATCTTTCCTTCCCTCCCCTTCGCCCGGAAGGCCCTCGCCCCCCTCCCTCCATTCAGGTCTTTGCTGCTCAGATGGCACATCCAAAGGGAAGTCTCCCTCGGTCACTCTCTGAAAGAAGCCACCACCCCGCTCTGAGCTGCCTCCCTCACCCCCGTCAACCTCGCCCTGTGCTTGACGTTGTGTTTCTGTTCACGTGGTGTTCACTTATCATTCGTCTGCTGGGTATTTCCGTAGTCTAAGAGCCATGCCCTTGTCCCACCATCAAGCTTAGTGGACCACATTGTCTTTGCTCTCCCCCCACCGCCCGAGCCACGTAAGTGCCAGGAAGACCCCCGTGCTTTAGGATCTGCCTTCCACCCCGAGTCAGAGTTGGAAGTGACCTGTCTCCTTGACAGAGATTTGGGGAGTTGGCCTGCTGAGGTGCCGGCGTTACTTCCTGCACGTGACTCCTTTCAACTCCTGCAAAGATGGTTCTCCTTTGCCACAACTCTGCCCACGCCATCCTATGCCAGCCTCTTGCCCATCCATGGCTTGCCTTGGCATGGTCACACACAATGGCGAAGCCTCGCACTCCACAAGATGATCAGCCCATGGCTGTTCTCCCAGGGACCTTGCTTTTCAGGCTTTTTTAAACATCATGTCTGCCCCTAGTCACCAAGGAGGACGACTCCCCACCATGCAGCCCCGCCTCCAATGACGCGTCAAACAATACATGTTCTAGAGTCCCGAAAGCTTATTCCTGGAAACACGACACGGGGCGGATACGAACGCCCCTCTGTCTCGCCTGGACACACCTTCATCAGGACCAGGAGAGGCACCCTGAAGTCGGTTGCCGTGACGACTGCACAACTCTTAATATAATGGAGAGATTAAATCGTACGATACGTGAAGTGTAGGCTAACAAAGCTCCTTAAAACGTGTTTTTACAAAGTGCCAACGGTGGCAAGTGAAGCCAGAAAGAAAGAAAGTGTATTTTAAAAATACCTCTTTCACGAGGTGGAGGGGGAAGGGAGAGGGAAGCAAGAAGAGCTGATACTAAGGGCTCAAGAGACAGTAAAGGTTTAGAAACTAATGATGGCAACATATGTACACATATGCTTGATGTAAATTGATGTCTGGGTTGTTAAAAGAGTTCTAAGAGCCCCCAGTAAAATGATCTTTTAATAATAAATACCTCTTTGATTGGGGTTTGGCTTGATCATTCCCTAAAGCCAGACTTGGTACGAAGGAACACACCTGGAAATGTAAATCAGCACTCACAGATTTCTGATTGTAAAGGGGAGAGAGCCACCTGCAGGGATGTTTTAGGATTTTCATTGTGGCTTTCCTTACGGATTTGATAAAGATGGACAAGTGGCTTTTAGCCGCCAGCATAAAGATTGCTTTCACATTAAACCAGAGTAAAATTCAACTGTCCATCGGGGAATAGATTTCTTTTTCTTTGAAACATTTCAGATTTTAAGTAACTGGCGAGAAGAGCGTTACCAAGATGACGTGAAAGCCAGGCAGATGATGCACGAAGCCCTGCAACTGCGGCTCAATTTGGTAAGAGGCTCATCTGGTGTGTTCCCTCCTGTAACACGTAGGCAGGTGTGAACTTGGCCCTGTCAGTTCTCAACGGTGAGGCCCCTTCCTCATGACTTCCCTGTCTCTCACACACGTCTCTTCCTTCCCTTCCTGTCTGCACTGACTTCCAGTCGTAGAGGTTTGGGGGCACTGACCTGCCTTCCTCACCAGCCCCCCCCCCAGAGACTCTCCTCTGCAGTGTGTGCTGGAGGGCACCTCTGAGAGGGAGCGCTACCACTTTGAGACACGGTCGTCCGATCTGTACGGGTTAACGATGCTCACGATCATTTGGGTCAACATTCTGCCAAACTTTCTCTCACATGAATCAGATCAAGACAAATTCTACCTGGAGGCAGCTTCACAGAAAGCTCACCTTTCTCACCCATCGCCTGCGCTTTTCCGTTCTTCCTTTACCACGGGATGGGACGCACCCAAAGCTGCTCTGGAGGTTGGCTTTCCTGATGTGTTGGTCCCTGGTTTTAACCTAGTTCCCCACCCCCACCATCCCCCCACCCACTGAACAGGTAGGCCTGCTGGCCCGGGCGCCTGCTCATCCTTACTTCTGTGTCACCGGGTCGTCTGGGCCTGATTTAGAGATGGAGAGTCAGTCCTGATAGAAAACAGCTGCAGATCATCACTTCTGGCTTTTTGACCTGCGCAGACTTAACTGAATGGCCTTGACATCGTCAACGTGGATCGCCTGAAAGAGCAGTCGTGAAAGAACACCAGCCGTTTGGCATAGAATTCACCTTGATGATCTGCCCAGATTTTTAAGTCGCCGGGGTGGGGGCTTTTGGTCACGTGGCCCTCAAATCAGAAGTAATAAAACCTGTAGAAAATCATTGTCCTCATACACTTAGATGTTTCGAATGGCCAGTTTCCTCTGGTAAAGAAAGTAAAGGGAGCCAACTAACACATGCAGCCGTGAGAGGAAGAAGCAAGAAGACCCATACACTAGCGTGTGTCCTCTCTCTCTCTCTCTCTCTCTCTCTCTCTCTCTCTGCTAATTGAAGTTGGGCGACATGAAGCCATGGGGGGGTCTTTCTCGCGGTCTCGGAATGTCGTGTTTCAATGGCCTTCTCTGTGGCAGGTGGGCGGCATGTTTGACACCGTGCAGAGGAGCACCCAGTGGACGACAGACTGGGCGCTCCTGCTCCTTCAGATCATCACTTCCAGCACCGTCGACATGCACACTAACAAGTGAGTTGTCACCGTCCTGCGACTGCCTCCCTGCAGGCAGGCACGTGCGGGGCATGGCCGTTTTCAGGGGATGGGGAGCTGGTTGGAATCCCTGGTGACAAGAGCACTGCCCCCAAGGGTGTCCCGGCCTGTCATCTAAGAGGAGGTCACCACCTCTTCCCTCCCAGCGGGGCCCCACTAGGTGGGTGGGAACTTCCAGCCTGCACCTTGGCAACCGAGGGCTTACCTGACGCACCACCTAGACTCCTGACCCGCCGATACACCGGCTACCGGTTTTACAAAGCCTGCGCTTCAAACCCAAATGCCCACTTCATTCCGCGGCTCCCGGTGTGGCTTCAACGTGCAAACACTCCTTTCCTTCCACCCTAGTGAATTATTCACGACCGTTCTTGATATGCTGGGTGTTTTAATCAACGGAACGTTAGCCTCCGACCTGTCCACTGCCTCCCCAGGGGGGTCCGAGGAGAACAAACGCGCCTACATGAACTTGGTCAAGAAACTGAAAGTAAGTTGCTGATCTGTTTGTGTTCGGAGCTCAAACTGCCTGTGGATGTGTTACAGTATGTTTATCTTGACTTCCTAATTAAATTGCATGTTATCCATGGCATCCAAGTTAATCTCACGTGATGAATGGTTTTTTAACCTCAGTTTGCCAGTACCCCCAAATTACGAGCATATAATCTTCCGTTTATTTATTTATATATATATATATATGTATGTATGTATGTATTTTATAAATCGCTTCACCACATGTTGAATTTTTAAAAGAACTGTAGAAGTCCACCGTCTAAATGCTCATGGGTAAAAAAAAAAGGAACTTAAAGACAACGAAATCTTCCCACAAACTCTTTGAAGCCCCCTGTACAAACAAGACCACCAGCATTCGATCTAGGCTAAACCTGTGCTTGGCCCCACACAGATGTTTGAAAGCTATATGCATCGATCTTTCTAAACCTGACTCATTTGCTCAAGCGCCCCGAGAACCTTTGAACTAAATGGTAAGCAAGCAGCAGGAGAAGAAAATCAAATACGCCTTGGCTACCTTGCCAATAAAATAACTGTCGGTTACCTTGGAGTGTGACCCTGGATACCAGAAGGTGTCCCTTCCACGCTGTAGCTCCTGCCTTCTGATTGTGAACACCGCCCTGGATTTTTGTCATTTCAGCACCGGGAGGGTGGTTGTGTCACTTGGGTGCCTGTATGTTGTTCTATTTTCTACTGAAATAGAAGAAATGAAACGTCTCTTCCCGCTGATGGAGAGCTGCTCTGTAGACCAGGCTCCAGGTCGCGAGCTGGGCAGCTGTAGAGAAGGAAATGTCTCAGAGGAGCACTTCCTTCTTGGCGACGTTTGCCTTCACGGTCATTTCTGCTCCACTTCTCTCTTCTCCCTCCAGAAAGAGCTCGGAGACAAGCGGTCAGAAAGCATCGACAAGGTCCAGCAGCTGCTGCCTTTGCCGAAGCAGACGTGTGACGTCATCACCTGTGAGCCGATGGGGTCCTTGATCGACACAAAAGGAAACAAGATTGCTGGATTCGACTCGATCGATAAGAAACAGGCAAGAGTGGACATACGTGTGTATATTCCCCTCACATACAAAAGCACCGGTGGATAAAATTAGTCACAGGTTGCCTTTCTAAAACCCCCCAGGAAGCCCACCCCACCCCCGCTACCATCCAAATCAGTTCCAACTTCGAACCTTAGAGGACGGAGGAGAACGAGAACGCTGCTTCCTTAGGGGTCTGAGGCTGTTCTTCCGGAGCAGACAACCTCATCTTTCTCCCTAGGGATGGCTGGGTGGGAGGGGTGGGGGTTGGAACTGCTGACTTGGGGGGGGGGGGCGCAGCTACCACGTCACCCACCATTGCCACCAGGAATCCTAAAGCACCTCGATCGTGTAGGTCCTGAGCTCCTTCCACGCTCATTCCTTCATATCAGTGCAGTGGCAGTTGGTGAATTGGTGTAGCTCCTTATTACGTGGTGGTTGTTTTTTTTTAACCCAGATTGACGTACATTCCTGACAGCCTGCTGAGAGGGCTAAGCACCGAGTTCACCTTAAAAAAAACGAATATCAATCCAGAGCCAACACCTGTTCTGATTTGACTTTAGAATAAGAAGCAGAGTGGGTTTAGGTTTTAAAAAGAAACAAAAAAATCTCCATTGATAAACATCTCTTTTGAGTAAAAAAATGGCTTCAAGGTGCTGGCATTTCATATTCTAATCAGGCAGAGAACACAAGGTGAACCCGTGTGTTATGTAAGTTATGAAGGTTCTCTGAAATCTCCCCCGCCCCCCTCAGTCAGAGACCAGGGCACTCCAGGGGGAAGTGAGAGTCTGCTGCACTGGTGAGGTTTGTGTGTCATGACAACAGGCTGGGCGGTGAGGAGGTGCCCCAAGCTGGCTTTGCAGAATTGACAGCTGAGTCATTTGGAAGGACAAAGAGCAGCTTGCGGCCGGGGGCAGTGTGGTACAGGCCAGTGGGGGTGGGGGCTGGCAGGGAGAGCTGGTACAGACACACAGGAGAACACGTCTCATGGGGGAAGTACAGCCCTGCACTAATTCAGAGCAGCCTGCAGCCTTCATCCCAGGGGCTGTAAAAAGGCAAGAAGCTCATGGCAGCGGAGCTTGCAGTGAGGACCTATCTAGAGGGGCATCTGACTACGTGGCCTTGCACCCAGGGAAGAAGTCCACTCAGGACAGCAGCTGTTCGGAAACCATGACTTGACAGCTGGTTTGGAGGAAGAACACCCATGAAACGGGGTCTTCAGATGAGAACAGCAGCGTCCATTTATCTTATCAAAGGCCCCAAGAGTGGTTTGGGGCCCAATTTGAGGAAAAGATGGTTTTTAATCAGTATACCAAGAAAAGTCCCAAGAGACCATACCAGTGAATATTAAAAATGGGACATTTTGGTTTTCAGAAACAGAATAATATTTCCTCTAGGCTCAAGCTATAGACTAGCTTGATTCACCAAAAAATTTTCATGCATGCCTGTTGGTACAAGTTAAGTTCTGAAATAACAGCACTTAACCATTCAGACTGGCATTAAGCTCATTAAAGGTCCCTGTACTGAATCCGGTCTGTACAGGTTTAGACTGGCATTCCTATGAGCTCAATTACCGATCATCTGTACCATGATTCTTATATTGCTACATCGTCTTAAACCTCATAGATGAGGAAGGTTGGTAAATGCCTATCATTTCGTGCCAGCATAGCGACTTCACAGTATTCTTAAAGACCACTTGATTTGCAGTTGACCTTGAACAAGCAAGTTCCACTCCAAGTGAGCAGGTACCACTCCCCAGAGAGTCTGATGAGCAACTCTCATTCTAAACAGAGACCCCACTAGAGCTCACCGCAGGGGGGGGGGGCAGAAGACCATGTAGTAAGTGAGCCACCACAATTCAAACCCATGTTGTCCAAAGTCAACTCCAAATTCTGCATGGATTTCCAACTGCGATGGAGGTCCGAGCTCCAATCCTCACCCCACACCCCGCATTTTTCAAAGATCAGATGTGCTTATTGATTTGTATATTATTAAATGAAGCATGCTCCTTTGTAGTAGGAACAAACAGACTGTCTCCTGCAGGGGTCCTTGGGAGGTACAAATGGGTATGCACTCAACTACTAACCGAAAGGTCGGTAGTTTGAATGCACCCAGAGAGTCCTCGGAATAGATCAGGCACCCGGCCCTCGGCTTCAGAAAGACCAGCGCAATGCACGAAGTTGTGCTGAGTCAGAATTGATTAGATGACAACTGGTAACCTTGGTTCCAACATCCACGGAGCATGGTGCGGGGCAGTGTTTCCCAAAGTATCACAGCGCCCCTTGGGGACCACTGCCCTGATCCAGGGGAGCGACACAAGCAGACACCTATACTCTATCCTGGGCTCTGGGCGATGGTAACAAAAGTTTGTAATAGCTAGGGGGCTACTGAGTGTAAAAAACACACATTTCTTTTCCCCTGAAAAAGGTGGAGGTAGGCCAAGTAAGTTTGGAGACTTAACGGTGTGGAGGAAAGGACCATTGGTTTGAGCTAAAATTCTTCACGCTAGCCGCTCACTGCACGGCAGCAGTCTCGCTGTATAACCTTTGTACTGACTAGTTGACCTCTCTGCTACACGCTAAGAAACACCCACGCCAGCCAAAATGTTGCGCAATTCCACGCAAGTCTTCCCCGGGAATCGGGAGAGGACTGAGCACGTTCTCACGAGCTGTTTTTGTTGTGGGGGTGGCTCTTTTCACCTTAGGGTCTCCAGGTGTCAGCCAAGCAGAAGGTGTCCCCGTGGGACCTGTTTGAGGGTCAGAAGAACCCCGCGCCGCTCTCCTGGGCCTGGTTTGGGACTGTCCGGGTGGACCGGAAAGTGATCAAGTACGAGGAGCAGCACCACCTCCTCCTGTACCACACGCACCTCATGCCCAAGCCCCGAAACTACTACCTCGAGCCCCTGCCCCTGCCTCCCGAGGAGGAGGAGGAAGAGCCCACATCACCCACCTCTCAGGAACCAGAACGGAAGTCAGCGGAGCTGTCCGATCAGGGAAAATCCACAATGGATGAAGAGAAGAAAACGAAAGGAAGGAAGCGGAAGACGAAATCCAGCTCCAGGGTGGATGTAAGTACAGAAGCTGGGGTCTCTCGGGCTTCTCGGCGGGGCTTTGCCAGCCCCCCGGAAACACGATCAAGAGCCCTGCGGGCCTGGCTGTGACCGAGGGTCTGTGGCCGTCCCTTGAATGGCACAGCAGCTGTGACTTGTCTCTCCTGCTCTCCTTGCTGCGCCTCTAACAACTCTGCTTCGCTTTAAGGCCGCCGTTGAGAGTGTTGAATACCCTCACGGCTTCAGAGTTCCCAGGTGGGGAACTTTGGATATTTCAGAGCTGTGGAACCCCATATTTTATTTTACGCGTTTTTGACGATAGGTCAATATCGCACACGTGAAATACTGTATTGCCTTTCCGAGGGCGTGTCTGCAGTGAATGAGGAATGAGGAATTTCATTGGTTCCTCTCCAGAGAAAGCTCCATCCGGCACATGCAATGGGATGCTTCTGAGATTTCATAGGTTTCCATTTCATCCTACTTCATCGTTTCTGATCCTTTTACTTTTAAGAATTGAAAATGCTGTCACTTTTATTTTTTAAGTTTCAGATTTAATTTAAAAGTTCTGCTTCTTCTTGCTTTAGCTATCGGTGCTCTCTGCGTAGAGAAGCAGTAGTATCTTTGAAGCAGCAGACCTGTGAGTTAGAATTTAAAATCATTTTCCATTGAAGATTGTTTTGAAAATGCCGGAGAGTTTTGTTTTGATTTTTACCTCCTCCCCCCCTACCCCACCCACCCCAGTAAAATTCAAGGATGTCCTTACTGCAATGTGGCAGTTATATATTCATAAGTTAGTGATAGGACATCGGTAGCAAATGATTGTTTTGTTACGTCCTGGTGAACACCAAGACGTACCTTTTCTTAGCTGATAGCTAAGAAGCTGACATCTTAATGGCTGATGTGACCTAGAAGTGATCCCTCTCACGAGCGGGTGCCGCTTGAAGATTGGTGACCTTCTGTTCCGTCTCCCTACCATGTTTCTTGGTCTTGAAGGGACAGAGATGCTCTTCCACAGTCTGGCCTCCGAGTCACTCTGTGCATAGTCTTGTTTTGTCTTCCCTTTGTTTCTTTTGAATGATGTCACCAACATCCGACGCATGTACCACACACATCAATAGTTCGATCACAAGCCATAAACGTGGTGCAGCCCTCCCTCCAGTCAGTTCCAAGACATTGCCTCTTCCTTATTCTAGTGGGTGCTAGCTCCCCGTGCCCCCCCAGCCCCTCCTGTGATAGGCATGGATGTTTGTTCTTTTCAGATGCAAAGTCTCTGACGCCCCTTCCTTGCCCAGAGTCCCCGCCTCTTCCCGCGCTACGTGACTGAGCCTATCCCTTTACATCCAGGCCTATGCTGCGTTTTCATGGCACAGAGAGTTATACCCCCGTCAGCTCATCTAAAGGCTGGCTGTCCGGGTCTGCTCCCTTGAAGACCACAGCCCTCTGCAGCAGCTCTGCCCTGCCCTTTGGGGCATGAACATCGTCTCAAGGGTGCATGAGAACACCTAGGGCTAGACTAGAGGAGAGAGGAGGGTGAGAGACCGGACCAGCAGGTAGATTTGTTAGCCACTGTGAGGAACAGGTGGGACTCTGGGGTGGTGACTGCTTTGGGAACTAAGGAGAGACGGGTCTAAATGTTCCTGAGACCTTTGCAGCAGCACCCTTCTCCAGGCCCGCAGTCATCGGGAAGGCCTTTGACGGTCACAGGAGCAAGAGACACAGTAGCTGAAGATGCCGATTCCACTGTGGGAGTTGTCCAGAACTCCTGTGCTCAATCCCCTTTTAGTATTTTAGTAACAGTTCAGAAGCACCCCTCCCACTCACCAACACTCCACCCCCACCACCACCACACCCACAACAGAAGTACATTTTAAGTCCAGCAAAGGCTTTTGACATCAATCTCCCACCATTAGGAACAGGAAGGATCTGATTTATGATTTGCGTGGTATGCGGGATTAAGTAACTTGTTTGGTTTTCATTTGCATTCAAGGACTATCCACAGAGCAACATATACCGAGTGCCTCCTAATTACTCACCCATTTCCTCCCAAATGATGCATCATCCGACATCCACCCTGTGGGGCTACAACCTCCTGGGCCAGCCCCAGCAGTCCGGCTTTTTCCTTCAGAACCAGGCTCTGACTCCAGGTACGTGTGGACAGAGGGCACGCCAGACGCGCTCTCAGGGGAGGAACAATTCTGGGATTTCCCTGCTTTGGACCCGGAACCTCCAACACCGTTGGGGCCTTCACGAACTTAATGATGGGCTCAAGCCCTGGTGGCAAAGTGAGTCAGTGAATGCCTGGGCTACGCACCCCAGAGTCAACAGCTCGGAAACCACCCACCGCCCCACGGGAGTAAACGGAGGCTCTCGACTCCTGTAAAGGTTTCCAGTCTCCGAAACCCACAAGGGCAAGTTCTACTCTGTCATGTACTTTCGCGGTGAGTCCCCATTGGCTCAGTGGCCATGAAGGGTTTTGTTCTTCGAGTTAATGATCCATTGGCATTTGTCATTTCCTCCCCACAGCAGTTTCTTTAGTTCTTTTGACCACTTCCTACTCCTCCCCCACCACCACCATCACCACCAGGTTGTGGGCTGGTTGTGAATTTTCACTGATGGAGGGAAATTTGCCGCAGGTGAAATCCCCAGGGACAAAGAAACAAATCCACCACCACCACCACTCCCTGCCACCGAGTCAGTGCAGACTCATCATGACCTTGCGAGACATGGTAGAACGGCCCCTGTGGGTTGCCCAGACGGTAACTGTTTACAGAAGTAGAAAACACCGCGTCTCTCCCACGAGGCACAGCTCGGGGTTCCAAACTGCGGACCGTGGCGGTTGGGCAGCCCAAAGTGTAACCCCTATGTCCCCAGGACTCCCGTGAATTCTCAGCGAGGCACTGCGAAGTGCACAAAGGTTTCGCATTGTGAAATCTAGGTACAAAGATCGCATTCTGATAAGTGCTTTAAACTAGTATACACTATCTTTTATCGGTTTCCTCTGCCGTGAGTTTTAAATTGCTTATACCATGAAGCATCTCAGATGTTTGGTTCGAAACGTAGACTTAGCTATCAGTGAAAACTCTCATATTCAAGTACACCTTTGCAATTTTGTGGACTGCTTTGATTCAAGCTAAAGTAACTTTATTTCCCAAATGAGGATGCTTCTTAATGAAGCATCTCTTAATAGGAAAGATCATGAGAGAAAGATGAGGCTCCCCTGTAATGATTGGCAGTCTCGGAAACCCTCGGGGCAGTTCTGTTCTGTCTTATACGGTCACTGTGAGTTGGCACGACTTGATACCAGTGAGTTTTAATAAGAAATGAATTTCTTTTTCTTTTTTCATGGAAGTTGGCCTATTTTGGCAAAATACATTATTTTACAACTTTAAGTCTACGTTATGTTAGTATGGGCTATCTTAACAAATATTTTTTATTATATCCTTTAGTTATTTTGTGTCTTAACAATTATATTATTATATCCTAGTATGCTGTGATTTTTATTGTAACTTTAATATGACATTTGGAAGCCTTGGGATATAATGCTGAAAATGTTTGGTTCATACACTGTGGCTAACAATCATCCACATCCTGTCCCGTAAATTAGTGGGTAAGAGTCTGGGATTTAGATATTTGGCCTCTCACCACACACTGCGGTTAATTTTGCACAAGTCTTAATGTTGCTATGCCTCATTTTGCTCATCTACAAAATGTGCCTATTTCGTCTGCCCTTACTGGGTGGTCCACTCAGTTGTTCACCCAGATGTATTAAGCATCACAACAGCACTCGCTGATGAAGACTCAGATTTGTAGCCTTCAGTATGGATTACAACTCGATGCCAAGAAGACCAGCATCCTCACAACTGGACCAGGGGGTCACATGATGACCAATGAAGAGAAGGTGAAAGTTGTCCAGGATTTCTGTCTTGCTTGGACCCACCATCCGGGCTCCTGGAAGCAGCAGTCGAGAGAGCAAACCACACATTGCATTGAGTCTGTTGGCTGCCCAAGACCTCTCTGAAGTGTTGGAAGGCAAGGGCGTTATTTGGAGGTGGGAGGCGCCCTTGACCCACGCCATGCTATTTTCAGTCTCCTCCCACATGTGGAAAAGCTGGGCATGGAATGAAGAAGGATCGGCGCTTTGGAACTGGGGGAGGAGGGAGGAATACCGAAAGTACCGTGGGAGTGCCGAAAAGACACCTAAGTCTGTCTTGGAAGGAGTACGGCCAGACCGCTCCTTGGACGCAAGGATAGAGAGACTTCATCCTACATCCTCTGGACACGTTGTCAGGAGAGACCAGTCCCAGGCATGAGAAGGACGTCCATGCTTGGTAAAGTCACGGGGCAGCAAAAAAAAAAAAAGAGAGAGAGGCCACAGTGGTGACCTCAGTGGCTCCAAACGCAGGAACAACTGTGAGAATGGTGCAGGGCCGGGCAGTGTCCCGTCCCGTGGTGCAGTGGGTGGCTGTGGGTTGACAGTGACTTGATGGCACTTCACAACGACAGCATCCACGACAGCAACATCATACACCTGTTGGGGGAGCTGAGGTATCAACAGTGAACAACATGGACAACAGTCACTCTTAAAAAAAAAAGGAGAGATGAGTTAAACCCGTGGTATGCATACATGCATGAGTATGTCTGTCTGTCTGCAGGTGTATCCCTTAAGGTGATGTGCCTCGGTGCTCAAGATCTGACTTGCAGGGGCTTTCTGGTCAAACACCATTTCTCAGAGAGGCATCCAGTGGCCGCCCTGCTTTAAGTTGTCAGCCACATTCCTGCCCAGGACTCCTTTTCCTAGTCCCCAGCTCCCACTGCCCCTCCGTACAGAACGTACTTTTACTTACTTACTGGGTTGTTTATGATTTGTTGAAGTCCACCTTACATGCAGATGGGTTCAAACTTTCTTTTAGTTTCTTAAATATCAATCTAGTCAATGTTTCATGTTCATTGGGCTTTTAGCTTCCCCCAAAAAAGATTTTTTCCTCTATGTTCATGGTTTTTGAAGTTTCAAAGCAGTTTGATTTTTAAAAATGTATTTTCCTGCCTCTTTACTATAACAGCCACTCGTATTTACCATGAATTTAAAATGGAAACAAAACCAAATGGTTGTGCGCTTTGATTTTATTTACAATTGCTATGCTCCCTTTTAAGCCGCTTGAAAAAAATGAGTCATGACGGCAGCTCATTTTTTGGAAGTATGCTTCTGAGAGCTCTGTATTATTTTATAACCCATATAATTCCAGAACCTGCCCGACAGTGTTGCATTTGTTGTGTTCGTTTATCAACTGAAAGTGATGCCTCCAGGTACTAATAATAAAAACACGCCAAGTCAGTCGTTCCTCTATCAGCCTCCCTGTCCTTAGAAAGATGTCGTTCCTGTATCACCCTCCCCAACATTGGACACCATGTCACTCTTCACAGCCTCGTAAGAGAGAGACGGGGCTTCCTACTCCGTAAGGAGTTAGTCTCGGAAACCCTCTCCTATAGGGTCATATCGAGTTGGAATTGACTTGATGGCAGTGTTTTTTTCTTGTTTTAATTGAGCATTTTATTGGGGGGCTCTTACAAATCTTATACCAATCCATCATTCAATAGTATGAAGCACACTTGTACATATGTTGCCCTCAGCATTTCCAAAACAGTTACTATCTACTTGAGTCCTTGGTATCAACTCCTCTTTTTTGGCCTACCCTCCCACCCTCGGGAATCCTTGATCAATTATATATTATTAGTATTGTTATTTCGTGTCTTTGTTGTCCATTGTCTCCCTTTGCCCACCTTTCTGTTTATTCGTCTCCTTGGGCATGGGCTGTATATCCAACCCTGTGATGGGTTTCCCCCTTTTTCTCGCTCCCCACCCCCGGCACCCCAGCAATGAGCTTTTGGAGTTTAACAATTTTTTGATGTTTGCAGAGAATAGGAAAAGTCTTTTTTTTGGTTGCATTTTTTTAAATCATAAAGTAAGACTTAGCGGTGTCTGCATTTTGATGCAATAAAAGAAGACCAATCCCCCCCCTGACACACACACACACACAAACTTAGAAGTACTGTCTGGTTGCTCTTGCAGGTGGCTCCAGACTGGACCCTGCTGGCTCCTTTGTCCCCACAAACACCAAGCAGGCGCTGTCCAACATGCTGCAGCGGCGCTCGGGCGCCTCCATGCAGCCGCCCGCCCTGCACGCCATCACGTCCCAGCAGCAGCTGATCCAGATGAAGCTCATGCAGCAGCAGCAGCAACAGCAGCAGCAACAGCGGCTCCTCAGGCAATCCCAGACCCCTCCTTTCCAACAGGTTGGTCCAACTCCGGCCACGGCCGGCCTCCCAGGGGTTGTATGGCCGCTCTCAGCTGGGGATGAGCACAGGGCAGCTAGTCTACCTTCTTGATGTGTGTGTCTCCACGGGTGCCCCCAGAGTCCGGGTATGGCTCTTCTACAGGCTGATCAAGACCCATTCTCCTTTCACCCACTAACGCATGCCCGGAAGCAGGGGTGGGGAACCATTCTCCTGCCAGGTGCCCTTGGGATAATTAACATCATTCAAAGCCACACCGATCACATGTTTCATGAACTCACCGCCGTGTGCTGGCAGGCACGGCTTCTCTCTGGTGAGGCCTGTGCTGTTAGCCGGTGGGGTGATCTCGTGGTCCTGACAGAAAGGGCCGCCCCTCCCATAAAAGCAGAAGGGGATGACCACTTTTTACTCCCTTGAAAGGAGGCTGTTCATCGCCAAGGTGACCCCCTGTGAGCACACATTCCCTCTTCTAATCGCCACCGTCTCCCCGACTCGGCCCCCCTCCAAGGACTCGCCTTTAGCTCTTTGCTCTCCGTTATCACTGAAGCCCCGCGTGTTCGTTTGGCTTGTGCCGACAGCGTCCTGCACCAACGACATTTTACATACACACTCAATGAAGCCTGTAACAGATCGTGAGTGAGCTACCAGGGTCAATCAGTCATCTACCGATACGTTGAGCCTAATTACTGACTTACATCATTTCTATTTTTATACTCTAGAATCCACTTATCTTGAACCCTTTAGATGACAGGGATGATACTTATCAAAACCATTGGAGAGGTGTGACAAAACCTAATGTACACTCACGAATCTATACAAACACGTTACAATGTAAAGGGGGCAGGAGTTTTTCAGGTTTTTTTTCTCTTTGCACATGTTCATATTTTCCAACTTTTCTCAAAGCCTGCATGCACTGCATTGGATAGCTGACACTACGAGGGCTCGGACTGTATGCCAAACAGTTCAAAGCTCTTTGAGCCTGTAACCCCAGTGTACCTTTAACCACACAGCAGCCCTCGACGGTAAGTTCTCTTACGATCTTCGAATGGAGGTAGCCGGTCTGCAAACGTGTCCCGCGCTGAGAAAACCTCACAGCTTTGCTCACTGGCCGATCCTCATACGTTTCTAAATATCCTTCTGATTTGCGATACGTGCCAGGCAGTCCCCCTGTGGACTGCATGGGGCGTCTGCCTTCCTGCCACAGGGTTACTGGGTTGGGGAGCCAGTTGTGTCTCCCTGCAAAGTACGGGGGCGGCTCTGTTTAACTCAATTATAAGGACAGGAGGGAGGAAGCTAGTTGGCTGCATGTGGATGCAGTGACAGTCACCTGTGTGTCTCGAGCAATGGCTCTCACTCTCTGGGTGTCAGGTAAGGTGGGCCTGTGCCGGTGCTGGCAGTAGTGATGACTGTGGTTTCGTTTTTCTCTCCGTCGTATCAATAGTACCATCCCTTTCCCCGAAGTTAACAGGGTCTGCCCTGTAACCAGTGTGTTAGTCTGGGTAAACTAGAGAAACAAATTCATAGACACTCATGTATATAGGAAAAAGCTTTATATAAAGAGTAATTGTACATTAAGAAGACATCCCAGCCCAGTCCAGATAAGTTCCTAAGTCCGATATTAGCCCATATGTGCATTACCAGTCTGTAGATTCCTCTTCAGATGCATGTAACACATGCAATGACACTGAGTGCAGGAAGATCACAGGTCAGTGGGTGGAAAGTCTTGTGGATCCAGTGGTGGTGGAAGCATCTCAGCACTGGCAGGGGTCTCCACGTGGCTCCTCCAGCTCCAGGGCTCTAGTGTAGCTCCATGTGTCTTCTCAACAGGAATGTCTCACAGGGAGTGAGTGAGTGAGTGAGTGAGTGCACATGTGTCTGGCTTCCAGCGAGCTATTTATCTCTTAGCGCCTCCAAATGAGGTCATCAAGCTGCGACCTGATTGACAGGCTAAACTTCACCTCTTCACTCTTAATAGTCTCAAGTTGACACCAGATTATATAACTACCACTGCCAGCAACTTCCCTTTTCTTACCCTCCCCTCTCTTGTAACCACCAAAGAATGGTTTGTTTTCCTTTGGTTTTTGTGAAAACATTTTCATGACTTTCTACTGAGGCCTGTAACAATATGTGTCCTTTTGTGATGGACTGATTTCACTGAGCATAAAAACGTCCTCAAAGTCGACCCGTGTTAGGACGTGTTTCATAGATTCATGCTGTTTTCTGTCGTGTGATATCCGGCTGTGCGTATGTATCATGGTTGGTCCATCCGTTCTTCCCCTGAGGGGCCTGGAGGTTGTTTCCATCATGTTGCTCTTGGTGCTACCATCAACATGAGGGTGCAGATAGCTATTTGTGTCAGGACTCTCATTTCCCGAAGGTCTGTGGTATTGCTGGGTGTGATGTGATTCCTGGCCTCACCCTGTTGAGGAAGCACCGTACCTTTCCCACAGAGGTGGCATCGTGGTCCAGTCCCAGCAGGAGTGTCGGAAGGTTCTGGTTGTTCGACAACCTCACCAGCAAATTTTTTTTTTAACTTTGCAGTTAAGGCTGAGATGAGGTGGTACCTTATTGTTGTCTCGATTTGCATCTCAAGTGGCTACTGCGGGAGCCCTGGTGGCTTTCTTGGGTTCTGCACTGAGTTAGGAGTCACCAGGCTGCCGGTTTGAATCTACCAGCCGCTCCTCGGGAAGAAGAGATGTTCTGCTCCCGTGAAGATCAGCAGCCTCAGAAGCCCACAGGGGCAGCGTGGCTCTGTCTCTGGAGTTGCTTGGAGGCAGAATCACCTCAGCGGCCGTGGGTTTGATTTCGGAATGGCTAATGATTGAGGAACTCCAAATTCGCTGCCACCAAGCTGATTCTGGCTTAGAGTCACTGCAGGATGGTATAGAACTGCCCCGGTGAGTTTCTGAGACTCTTCACTGTTGGCAGGAGTAGAGAGGCTTGTTTTGCTCCTCACAAGTGACTCCCGGTTTGAATTGCCGACCTCACAGGTGGCAGCCCCACGCGTCACCTGTAAGTGGCATGTTGCTGCAGGTCATCCAGCAGCAGTTGCTGTAGTCCGTTGGCAGGCCAGATGCAGAAGAGGATAAAGGATAGTATGTCAGATGGAGGCAGAAATATCATCAAGAGGTTTCCTTGTGCTTTATTGACTGTGCCAAGGCGTTTGACTGTGTGGACCACCGTAACACACTGTGGATGGCCTTGAGAAGAAGAAGCCCAGAGCACCCCGTTGTGCTCCTGCCGAACTTGAACCTGGCTCAGAAGGTAGATGTGTGAACAGGACAAGGGAGTCCTGCATGGCTTACATCAGGAAAGGTGTTCAGATTATATCCTCTCATCACATTTATTCAAACTGCATGCTGAGCACATCGCCCGAGAAGCTAGATCCTGCGGAGAAGAACGGCATCAGGATTGGAGGAAGGCGTATCAACAGCCTGGCACTGCGGGTGACACAATCTTGCTTGTTGAGAGTGCAGAGCACTGGAGCCTTCAGCACGGATTCCAGCCCCAGGTAAAGAAAGCAAACACGTGCACAACCAAGAGGGCCCCTAGGTCACATCATGATAAATAGAGGGAAGGTGGAAGGTGTCAAGGGCTTGGTCTTGCTTGACTCCATAGCTCCCAGAAGCAGGAGATCAAAAGACGGGCTGCATTGGGCCAGTGGCTGCACAGGGACCGGTGGCTCTTACCAGTTCAACAGAACTGGTGCCTGACTTTTTTGTTGCGCATGGTGAGCCGGTTGTTAAAGTGGCACTGGCCATCAGGGTTCTCTCTCAGGTGGACAGGTGGGAGGCTGCTGCTCGGTGTGGACATCACAATGTTACATGTCTTACTCTGTTTTCTTTAAGCTGGGATTTAATACATACATCCTATCATTCCATATTTCAACCACTGCAAGGAGAATGTGCACTTGCTACCACAATCACACAATTGCACAAACATCCTTTTTCTACATGGACTCCTTGACATCGTCTCCCTTTTACCCCCCCGCCCCCACCTCCACCCCTGTACCCCCGAACCCTCTATTCTATTTGCCGTCCCTCTAGGGTCATCAATCCTGGGTTTCATGTACTGAAAAGCGTATCACACAGCTTCAGGAGGGTGACCTCCGTTGACCTAACACCTCTGAGATAAACTCTAATATGAACAAACAGGAAATGTTGGTCCAGGCCATGTCATGGGGGGGTGGGACTCTACTGACAGTTTTAACTGTTGTTCAGGTCAGATTCATGCCTTTGACCTTCTGTACTCCTCTCTGTTTAGTGACTGCTTTCCTCCCTCCCCTCCGCTTAGACGGGGGAGTTCCCTGGAGGCTTCTTTCCCCTGTCAGTCCTCAAATGACTCTGGGGCCCCCACTGTCACCCGTGACTTTTGCGTTCCCTTGCCGAGGGTGTCCTTACTTTTTTCATGTTTATCTGCCCCGCAGTGTATTATTCTAAGCAGCCGTGGGAGTGTTTTTCTGTCCATAGGTGTAACAGTGGACAGCTGTACTTGTAATGTCTATTAGTTCCATAAAACTCACTGAGCTTTTGATGCACGACTGCGTTTTTATTCCCTTGTGTTTGTGTTTTAAGTCAACAAACATGTCTCCTAAAGAGAGAAAGTGTAAACAGCCGAGGGCGACATGCTGTCTTTCATTTCAGGTTTGCGTGATGCCCCAAATTCCCACGAGCTGTCATGAGTGGACCATGCAATTCCTGATAGTATTCGGGGAGCTGGAAAGATGGTCAGAGCAATTGCTTTAAGTCCAGCAGAAGGAGAAAGGGGTTTTCAAACACAAACAATACACTCAGAGAAGTCATCTGTTGCTAATCTATCAGACACAATTAGGCTATTAAAGTCTAATTGACCTACTGATAAAGGAATGGGATCCTAATCCCACAGTGAAAAGATGGTTCCGGAGAAATCACACAGCCGAGGCTGCTCGGATGAAAGCGAAGAACATTGAAAATGAGGACATCAATCAAGAAGCAATATGGAAACGTCAAGGTTTTAGGAAG